ACTCCTGACCTCAGGTGATCCACCTGCGGTCAGGAGTTTGAGACCAGGCTGGCCAACATGGTGAAACCCCGTCTCTACTAAAAATAAAAAAAATTAGCCAGGTGTGGTGGTGGGTGCCTATAATTGCAGCTGCTCGGGAGGCTGAGGCAGGAGAATCACTTGAACCTGGAAGGCAGAGGTTGCATTGAGCCCAGATTGCATCATTGCACTGCAGCCTGGGTGACACAGCGAGACTCTGTCTCAAAAAATAAAATAAAAATATAACAGAGTCACGTGGTTCTCATTCAAAAGAGTCTAAAGCAGTGACTGCTCTCCAGGCTCTAAGGTCCCTCCTTGGAGGCGACCAGGTTTACCAGCATTTCTGTGTTACCACTTTCTACCACGGAGATGGCAAGAGCCTGTCACCCAGGGCTGAATCCCGAGGAACCCAAAGATGGAGAAAGACCGGGAAACTCATGATCAGAATAGGATGGGATTAATCAAGGTGCGATTCCTTGAGGAGCCCACTTTTGAGCCAGGTTTTATAGGAGGGGAGTCACTTTGGGGCCGGAAGCAGGTCACAGGGGAGGGACATGTCCCAAATGGAAGTCATAATCTTTCCTCTCAAAGCTGTCCTCATCCAGCACGGATGGCTCTGCAGCCAGCCACCTGCACAAACCAGGAGTGGGGCACTGATGTTGCTGCCTGTCTTCTTTTCACCTGTGTCTGGCCCAGCGCCAGGTCCTGCCATCACAAGTTCCTTAGCGCACTCTCAAGTCTCCCCATCTGACCTGAGCCGGGAGTGGTAGCTCATGCCTGTAATCACAGCTACTCAGAAAGCTGAGCCAGGAGGATCCCTTGAGCCAGGAGACCAGCCTGGGCAATGTATGGAGGCCCCGTTTCTAAAAAACAGACAGGGCGTGGTGGCTCATGCCTGTAATCCCAGCACTTAGGGAGGCCGAGGTAGGCAGATCACAAGGTAAGAAGTTCGAGACCAACCTGGTCAACGTGGTGAAATCCCGTTTCTAGTAAAAACACAAAAATTAGCCAGGCGTGGTGGTGGGTGCCTGTAATTGCTGCTGCTCAGGAGGCTGAGGCAGGAGAATTGCTTGAACTTGGGAGGCGGAGGTTGCAATGAACTGAGATTGTGCCGCTGCACTCCAGCCTGGGAGACACAGGGAGACCCTGTATCAAAAAAAAAAAAAAAAAAAAAAAAAGATTTGGAATCTCTCTCCCGATGAGAAGGCACGTTGTGAAAATGTCACTTTCCCATGCCTCATCCACCCTCTTTCCTCTCCCCCCGCCACCAGGAGATGACTTTTATTAGCTTTTGTGTCTCTAGAGTTTCTGTAGGTAAAGATAAGCGAGTATGAATTCCCGCTCTATTCCCGTCCCCCTTTTTCACATCAGTCACCCATGCTGCCCTGCCCTTTATTTTTCCCTCTGAACAGTGTGCCTTGGAGATCTTGGCATGACGGCACACAGGAACACCCTCAAACACAACATGTTTTACAGCCGCACCTGTTTTCACTGTATGGATGAACCATAATTTATTTCATTCCCTACTGAAGGGTGTGTGGGTCGCTCCCAGTCTTTTGCTATTAGAGACAATTGCACAGATAACACTGTCCACTTGCTGGAATCTCTAGATACATTCTCCAAAGAGAGGATTGCTGGGCTAAAAGGGAAATGCATTTGGAATTCAGACAGATGTTGTTAGCTTGTCCTCTGGAGGGGTTGAACCAAGTGACGTTCCCACTGTAATTATCAGAGTGCCGGTTTGTAATTATACATTTATTTATGTAATTATTGGATGGATTTCTCTCCCCACAGGAGGGCAGGGACGCTGTCAGTTTTGCTTATCATCATAGGCACTCAATAAATGTTGAATTAGGCTGAGTGTGATGGCACATGCCTGTAATCCGAGCATTTTGGGAGGCCAAGGTGGCTGGATCACCTGAGGTCGAGAGTTCGAGACCAGACTGGCCAACATGGTGAAAACCCGTCTCTACTAAAAATACAAAAATAAGCTGGGCTTGGTGGTGGGTGCCTGTAATCCTAGCTACTCAGGAGGCTGAGTCAGTAGAATCACTTCAACCCGGGAGGTGGCGGTTGCAGTCATCTGAGATGACACCACTGGACTCCAGCCTGGACTACATGATTGAAACTCTGCCTCAAAAAACAAAAAAAGTTGAATTAGTGAATAGATTCATGGTTCTTCCAGGAGAGGCTGGCCAGGATATGAGGGAGACCACCTTCCTTTTGTGTTCACGGTGCCCAGCCCAGCTTCCCGGACCCTTCCATAGGACATCTGGGACCCTGGGAGAGACTCTGGAGGTTCTGGAAGACGTAACCCTGATTGCTGACTCCCGGTCCCCACTCCAGAGCAGCCCTTCTCCTGCTGTGAAATCAAGAAGTCCATGGCTGGGCAAGGTGGCTCACTCCTGTAAGCCCAGAACTTTGGGAGGCCTAGGCAGGAGGATTGCTTGAGGTCAGGAGTTCAAGACCAGCCTGGGCCATATAACGAGATCCTGTCTCTACAAAAAATTTAAAAAGAAAATTAGCTGGGTGGAGTGGCTTGTGCCTGTAGTCCTAGGTACTCAAGATGCCGAGGTGAGAGGATTCTTGAGCCCACAAATTTGAGGCTGCAGTGAACTATAAATGCGCTACTGCCCTCTAGTCTGGATGACAGAGGGAAACTATGTCTCTAAAAAAAAAAAAGTAAAGAAAAAAAAAAAGGCCGGGCGCGGTGGCTCAAGCCTGTAATCCCAGCACTTTGGGAGACCAAGGCAGGTGGATCACGAGGTCAAGAGATCGAGACCATCCTGGTCAACATGGTGAAACCCCGTCTCTACTAAAAATACAAAAATTAGCTGGGCATGGTGGTGCGTGCCTGTAATCCCAGCTACTTACGACGCTGAGGCAGGAGAATTGCCTGAACCCAGGAGGCGGAGGTTGCAGTGAGCCGAGATCGCGCCATTGCACTCCAGCCTGGGTAACATGAGTGAAACTCCGTCTCAAAAAAAAAAAGAAAAAAAAAAAGAAAAAAAAAAAGAAAAAAAAAAGTTCAGTGTCTTAGCCCTGTAAGGGACTTAAAGGATGGACCCTTGTCTGATGCCTGAATTCCCTGTGTGCCCTCTGCTCACCTACTTCCAGTGATAGGGAACTTACCCCATCAGCTTCAGCTGCTTTCAGCTTCAGACAACTAACTTTTAGAAAGCTTTTCATGTATTGGGCGGGTGTGGTGGCTCACATCTGTAATCCCAGCACTTTGGGAGGCCGAGGCGAGCGGATCACTTGAGGTCGGGAGTTTGAGACCAGCTTGGCCAACATGGTGAAACCCCATCTCTACTAAAAATACAAAAGTTAGCTAGGCATGGTGGCAGCCGTCTGTAATCCCGGCTACTTGGGTGGCTGAGGCAAGAGAATCGCTTGAATCTGGGAGGTGGAGGTTGCAATGAGCTAAGATCACACCACTGCATCCAGCCTGGGTGACGGAGCAAGACTGTCTCGAAAAGCAAAACAAAACAAAACAAAAAACAAAGGAAAGAAAGCTTTTCCATTTATTGAGTTGAAATCTGATCCTTGTAGCTGACTCCTCTTCAGGGAATGTTAATTGCGGCCCTCTGGAAACAGGGCTTTCTGGCAGATGAGCAGGAGGGATATTTGGAAACAGGTACCAGACAGCAATTCTCTGGCAGGCAGGGCTGACTCTCCGGGGGAGCTCTGCAGAGGTTGCTCCCTGCCTCACTATCTCCTGTCCTGCCCACAGGTACGTGCAGGAAGGGCGGTTCCGAATGGAGGAGAGGACACTGACAGCCTTCCAGTGGCTCTACAGCCCACAGCAGCACTGCATCCTCAGCCGGGCCGATCTTCAGTCTCCCTCCAGGTAAAGGGACCTTCTGCCTTGACCCTCACCTGCTTCGGCCTTGGTCCAGGCCCCTCAGCTGGTACTTACGAAGCCAGGGCCCCATTGGTCCACAAATCCACAGTGGGGAACTTTGCCTTCAGGGATGGGGAGGCCTTCTAGGAAATAGTTTATCAGCCCAGATGCTTGTCCCACCTCGAGTGCACTGAGTAACTTGAGGCAACCCATTGCCCCTGCTTTCTCCTCTGTCAAATGGATACGGTTGTATTTTCCCTGCCTTCTCTTGGGAGATCATAAGTCTCCAGTGAAATATGCCTGCAGAGATTTACAAAGCCTGGAGATCCATCGGACTAGGTGGCTCATGCCTGTAATCCCAGCACTTTGGGAGGCCGAGGCAGGCAGATCACTTGAGGTCGGGACTGTGAGACCACCCTGGCTAACTTGGTGAAACCTCGTCTCTACTAAAAATACAAAAATTAGCTGAGTGTGGTGGCACACATCTGTAATCCCAGCTACTCGGGAGGCTGAGACAGGAGAATCTCTTGAACCCTGGAGAAGGAGGTTGCAGTGAGCCGCAATTGCGCCACTGCACTCCAGCCTGGACAACAGAGCAAGACTCTGTCTCAAACAACAACAACAACAAAAAACAAAGCCTGGAGGGCACTGCTTTCTCCCTCTCTGGAGGGACAGTGGCAGGTAAATTTGCTGGGCACCCCCTGATTTGATCTGGAGCCAGCCCATCCTTCCTTGACCAACTCCTTTCCCATGCCAGAGATTCCAGCTGGGATCCTGAGTCTGGGTGGAGGGCTGGGAGGTGAGGGCTTCTCCTGACCCAGATCCCTGCCCACTCTTCCCCCAGCACTGGACATGTGTGACCAGCATCAGCAGTCACAACAGAGGAGTGCTGGCAACCCTTCTGCAGCCACAGCCCTTCCCAAGGTCTGCCATACCCGACCCTGGGCCTTTTCTTCCACTTTCCCTATCAAAGCTGTTGTTGTTGTTGCTGTTTCGTTTTGAGATGGAGTCTCGCTCTGTTGCCCAGGCTGGAGGGCAGTGGCATAATCTCGGCTCACTGCAACCTTTGCCTCCCGGGTTCAAGTGATTCTCTTGCCTCAGCCTCCCGAGTAGCTGGGACTACAGGCACATGCTACCACATCCAGCTAATTTTTGTATTTGTAGTAGAGATGGGATTTCACCATGTTGGCCAGGCTGGTCTCGAACTCCTGACCTCAGGTGATCCGCCCACCTCAGCCTCCTAAAGGGCTGGGATTACAGGCATGAGCCACTGCGCCCGGCCACATAACTTCAGATTTCATACACAGGAAGGCTACATGCCATTTGGGAATTTGAAGAAGAGTCTGCTATAGACTCACCGAGATAAGTGGCTTAATTCATTAATTTTTTTTTTTTTTTTAAAGAGATAGGGTCTCACTGTTTTGCCCAGGTAGGCCTTGAACCTCTCTGCACAAGTGATTCTCCCGACTCAGCCACAATAGTTTTTAGTTATTTAATTTAATTTATTTTGAGATAGGCTCTCACTCTGTCACTCAGGCTGGACTGCAATGGCGTGATCATGGCTCTCTGCAGCCTCAAACTTTAGGGCTCAAGTGATCCTCTTGCTTCTGCCTTCTGAGTAGCTGGGACTGTAGGCATGCACCATCTTGCATGGCTAATTTATTTTATTGTAGTAGAGATGGGGTTTTACCATGTTAGCCAGGATAGTCTCAAT